GGGGGCAGGGTATAAAGAGCAGGCTGAGGGACAGTGCTGCAGGACCCTGGGTTGTTGAACTACAGTTCACACTACTAGGGGATGGGCACATCCTGGTGAGGGAGGGAGTGTAATTTGCTCACAGGAAGTTCATCATCCATGTGATCCAGAGAATTAACAATGAAACTGGAAGGGTGTAAAGAAGGGAGAGCCAATGATGTTGTTAAACCAAACCCTATGGAAGCCAGCATATGTGAAAGGGGTATCTACTATGTCTTAGGCATCATGCTCAGTAGGCACTTTATCCATTCATTTATTTAATACTTGCAACAATTCTAGAACTAAGAAAAGCTGAGGTTTAAACAGCATACCTAAATTGTACAAGTGACACAGCTAGAAAGTAGTGGAGCTGGGATTTGAACTAGGCTTATCTGACCTCAGAGACTACACTCTGCGAGGAGATACTTAAGGTAAAAGAGGTCAATATGTAGGAAATAAGGGGTAAACCAGCTGCCCTGGACATTGGCTGTTTGCGCCTCCTTTATCTCATGGCGCACGTCATTTTACCTTCCTTTGCCCACAGCCCGAATGCTACTTGGGCATCCACCCCTGCCTCACTCTTTGGCCCACAGTCTGGTTCTCAGCAGTGGAGCATGTATCCCAGGCCTGTGCCAATCAGCATGTGTGTTCCCTAGCCATGGTGCATGGTTTAGTGTGTAAATGTGATCTAAGCCTGTTTAATCATAATGGATCTCAGAGCTTCTGGACACGAACTCTGCTCTTTCCTGCTAGACTGAACCTGGATGACATTAAGTCTGGGGCTACTGCAGCTATTCTGCCACCTAGATCTGCCAGAGACCACCATATGGAGTTCAAGAATGAATTCAGAAGTGGGCACCGCCCAGAGATTGACTTATAAGGATATTGTCTGAGCCTTAAACCCAGCTGTTTCTAAAGCTAGATCTATTCTGAACTTTCCAGTGACATGAACCAATACATTCCCCCCTCATGGTAAATCTGTCTGCATCTTCTGTAACCTTGCAATCAGGAGTCCTACTACACCACATTCATACAGAAAGCATCTGCCCATATGATTAAGCATGGAAGCATTTGGGTGAGAGTCAAGGAGAAGAGAGAACAAAGCACTACTACTGAGCCGCCCCCTTAACAGTGACGCAAGTTTTCCCATGCAGATCACGAAATTGGAGGAAAGGGAAGGTTTAGTTCCGCCTGACAAATAATTCTAACTAACCAAATGTCTGAACATCTTATTCTGGGGGAAAAAAACAAAACAGAACATTTACTAAAGTCTGGATTTGCTTCGCTGACAATTTCATCTCTCATAAAATTAAGAGGAAATGATTTGCTGCCTTTATTCTGACTCAGAAGGTAGAACAAACTGTGTGATTTCTTTAAAAAATATATTATTTTTACTGATTTCAGAGAGGAAAGGAGAGGGAGAGAGCTAGAAACATCAGTGATGAGAGAGAATCACTGATCAGCTGCCTCCTGCATGCCCCAACTGGGGATCGAGCCCGCAAGCCGGGCATGTGCCATGACTGGGAATCGAACCGTGACCTCCTGGTCCATAGGTCGATGCTCAACCACTGAGCCACGCCAGCCAGGCAAACTGTTCTGTTTTTTAAAAGAAAAACATGATTATGGGATTTTAAGAGTTTAGTAAGAGCATAATATGAACAAATCCTAAAAGTTCAGAGGAAACCTAGGGACAATACAAAATTCAGGGCCTGAGACCCTAAAAGGAAAGGCAGCCTGAGAGAAAACAAATGGAGCCCTCCCAAACCAAAATCTGGTCGTAAATTATAAATTTCCAGGTAAGGAAAAGTAAAATACAGGTTGGGGCAAAAGTAGGTTTATAATTACCAATAATACAATTAATAAATAATAATACAAGAGTAAACTCTGTGTTTCACATACTCACAACTGTAGGCCTACTTTTGTCCTACCTTGTATATCCAAATCTCAGCTAGCAAATTAATCCTGAATGGCTCAAGGCAGACATGACTTACCAATCACAGCGCCTTTTCTTGTTAAGCCCAATTTCACTCTCCAGTTATCTCTGACCCAGTGCCCCAGTCAGCCACGATGAATTGACCAAAGCTGGGACACAAGAATGCACCCAGCCTCCACTGCTGGTCTAAAGAAACCAGCGCAACAACACAGAGAGCTCTCAGAGTCCATGTTCTAAAAGGACATGCAAGAGAAATGAAGGTGGGGACAAATCAAGCACAGATCCACAGTGGAATGGGCCATGTGAATGATGGCAAAAAGGGTAAAATCTAGAAAGAGCTAATGCTTGTTCATTTAAAGCAAAACAAAACAAACTTTCTATTTTTTGAAGAATTAAAATAAAGGAGGGGTGGGCTTAGAAAAATATGAGACATAGGTATCTCTGCTTGGGGAAGATGACACAACTTAAATTAAGCTGGATTCTTCAACTTCTAGATTTAGTTCCTTGTTTTCATGAAGAAAAAGGATCTACACCATGAAAAGGAGAACCACCTTGGTTAAGAAAGACGGAGAGCCCAAGATGGGGAGGAAGATGGGAGAGGCCCAGCCTCCAGGGGCTGAGCTCCAGGCCCAGCCATCAGCATCCCAGGACCCTAAGGGAAGGCGAGATGGGCTCAATAAACCTCTCAGGTGACCTCTGGGGAATCAGAGAACAGGCAAATGCTGGGATATTGGAGACTAGCAGACAGCATCCCGATTTCCAAAAGAGGGGAAAACAGATTCCATTAACCACAAGACTGGAGAGCCTACCCCCAACCCCTGCAGGGAGGTAAGCCGCATTCTCGGAGAGGCAGGTTTCCGAGCAGGTAGGAAAGGAAGCACTCCGACAAAGCAAATGCAGTAGGAAAATGGGCAGAGCACAGGCACCGGCAATTCACTGAAGAGGAAATGCAAGTGGCCAATAAATAGAAAAGATACCTCAAATCATGGAAACACACATTAAATAATCAAATACTATTTACCTATGCAGCAGCTCAGCAAAAATTTTAAAAATTGGTAATATCAAATATTGGCAAAGATTCAGGGAAATGAGCACTCGTTAGTGAAACATACAGCTTTCTTTAAGTGGCATTTTGGGGATACTGATTAAAAATTAAAATACACTGTATTTTGACCCAAGAATCTGAAAGACTCACACAAGCAGAGGCTTGTAGAAAGTTTTCCATTAAAAGACTATTTATTACAGTAAAAGATGAGAGAAAAACTATCCCAAGTTTAACACGTGCTTAAATACAGTATGGTACTATGAAATATCATACAACAGTCAAAACATAAAGTCGATCAATATACACTGATATAAAATGATTAAGATGTGATCATTCATACTTTAAAAAAGCACAAAAGAGTCTGGCTGGCATGGCTCAGTGGTTGAGCGTTGACCTATGAGCCAGGAGATCAGGGTTCAATTTCTGGTCATGGCACATGCCCAGGTTGCGGGCTCAATCCCCAGCCCTTCCTCTCTGAAACCAATAAAAATATATTTTAAAAAAGAACAAAAGGAACTTATATATATATCTATACTGTGCATATGTCTATAAAAGAATAAAAAATAGTTTAATAGGATACCCGTTAACCTGGTAACAGAGATGACCTTGGGAAAGTGATTAAGGATATCTTTGTCTTTACCTTTTTGCATTTTTTTTTAAATAAGAGATCTTCATTTACTGTATAGTTAAATATATATATTTAACAAACAGAAATATATATATGTAACAAAAAAGTAGGACACAGTGAGTATTGGGGACCAGCAAGTGCACTGGAAGATGTGTCAAGCCCAAAATGTGTCATCCCTTCTCCTGGGATGACAAAGGAATTGCCAATGGCTCTATGAATAGAGTGCCCACAGGCTAATCCTGGACACAGTAGAATAGCTCAGGCTCGATGACAATGCTAGAGGTACAGTCAAACTTGACTGTAGTTGAGAGTTACTGATTCAGGACCCACGTGGAAACTTCTAGGACAGTCTTTGGTCCTGTCCTGTTCAACATATTCATTCATTCTCTCAGCCTCTCACTCATTCAACAGACATTCGTATCATCATGCAGAAGACACCAAGATGATCTCTGCCTATAGCCTAGGATACTGAGAAGTCGAAGGGAAAAATAAAAAAACAGCATGACAAACGCTTGACTGAGGTGTTGTGGAAGCTCCAAGGGTAGGGCCTGACCCCAACCTGGACTCTTGAAGGAGGTCACCATCTATACCAAAGGTCTGTTCACCTAAAGAAAGAGAGCATGAAGCTAGGAAACACCACTAACACCCCTAATCAAATACATGTGAACTGGAAAAGGTTGACAAGCTAAAACACACCATGAGAAATCCATTTGCAGTCACCGAACAATCCCACCTTTAGGCTGCTGGAGGTCCCTTTTGTTTTGAGGCCTCACCAAACGAAGACCATTGTCCAAGAAGCCTCTAAGCAGAGCAAGGTGTCCAGATGGTGAAGAAGGGTGCCCATATCACATGAGGACTGGCTAAGGGCACACCCTGAGTTTTCCAGGGCCACCCAACTCTCTCCAGGAGCCAACCACAGCCAACAGGTTCAGGAATTTCCAAGATCCCTGATTGTCCCCTCGCTTTGCCCACTGGAGGGAAGGGGCAGCTGGAAGATAGCATGGTGGGCAGTCTGTGGCACAGTTTGCAAGATCTCTTTTGCCCCCTCTCTCCTCCCCAACTGGTGTCCCAAGATTGTCCCTTCTACCACACAGAGAGAAGAAAAAAGGAAACACGCCAAGGTCCAAGGCTGTGTGCTCCGGGCCGTCATGTCACTCTCCCAGGCCTCTGTTTAATGTGAGTGGGCTAGCCCACTCCCAGGGGACCTCCCAGCTGTGACAGGCAACACGTGTTGCATTCTTCTCCCAGAATTCAAAGAGAGGGCAATACTTAATACCAGTGGATTCATGGTGAGTCTTGGGGCACTTGGGAGTTCTTATTTGGGTCCCCATCCTAAGGAGGAAGCCCTCTGGCAGGGACCTTCCGCTGGGACTGACCTCTTCAATGACGACCGAGACAGCACCTGCGCAGCCTGGTTCATGGCCCTGATCCAGGCGTTCATGTCCTCCAGGGTGTCGGCACTGAAGTAGTAGGTCCTCATGCCCGACTGCTCTGCCTGAGAGCCCCCGGCGGAGGTGTTATAGATGAGCGCTCGCATCCCCAAGTGCACAGCCTGTAGGAAGGAGAGGGAAACCCGGGACAGAGAGGTTAGCACACATTTCACCTCCAGGAGCAAAACCAAGGAGACACTGAACCACGTTCTCCCCTCTTCCGGACTGAAAGCCGAGGCCCCACCCACTTGTCTCCACACCTGGAAAACGCCACAGCTGGATTCCCCCTCTCGGTGCAGTCAGGCCCAGGGACCACTGTGCCTACTCCCCCATGGAAAGCCGTGCAGGCGTCACCTGTGTCTGACTTATCTTACTCATGCGCGTAGGGAGGGACACACACCCAAGGCTTACGTGAGAAAGGCTTTAAATAAACCCTCATTCCCTGGAAGCCGACTCTCGGGAATCCCTGTTTTGGTTCTTCTGAAGCACACAATTACTGGAATTGAGTCAAAACTCAGCCGCAACAGCAGGCAGCTGGGTGCAGTTATTCACTGAGCTTCGCAGCTTGGGCATGAAATGTGCTGTATGCCAATCAAAGAGCCGCTGTTCCGTCTCTCCCAAGAGGCACTACAAAGTTGGACAGAGCTATCATCTGACTGAAAATCCCTGTGTACCTACTATGTGCTAGGAAGCCTCCGGGTGCTTTCCCAGATATCCTTGCAAAGAGCCTGTGAAGAGGCACCAGGAATGGCCTCTGAGAAGCACCTGGGACAGTTTCCAAACAAGAGGCAAGAAATGTCCTGGATCTTCAGGCCATTGCCTGTGGCTGGAGGGAACGTGTAAGATGGGAGCGGCTAAAAAAGGGGCTGAAGAGATAAGCTGGGGCTTTGTAAACCAACACTGGGCTTTATGCTGTAGGCAGTGGGGAGCCACTGAAGGGCTGATGGTGGGAGCACCACCTGAACAGATGTGCAACTTAGGAGCAGTGTGGAGGATGGACTAGAGACTGCAGAAGGGACTGGGGGCGGAAGCCAACACTACGGAGCACTCACTCGGCACGAGGCACTGTTCTGGCAGTGAGTAGGTTACCCAGGGGAGGGGCGATGGCTGCTGAGAAAGACCAGTGACCGTGACAGTGGAGAGGAAGAGATGGATTTGAAAAAGACGCAAAATAAAACTGAAGTGGGAGAGGAAAAGGGCAGCTTTCATGTTCTCTTCTTATTCCCTAATAACCCCCAGGCTGATGCAGAGTCTAGAGTACCAGCCCCAGGAAGGCGAGGACTTTGTCCTTCTCACTGTTGTATCCCCAGGATCTACATCCTGCCAAGTGAAACCACGGACAGAACACAAGATTGTTGAATATAAATAGGTGAAACACCTCATCTCTCAGCTGGCGTTCAGCTAGAATTCAGCAGGGGGTCTTAATTTGGGGGGCGGTGCGGGGGGAGGCACATGAAACCTTTGACAGTTTGATGAATCCCGTGAACTCTTCTCGGCATGTTTTTAAGTATACAATTAAAAGAAAGGAAATATATTATGTTGAAATATCGTTATCAAATATTTTTAACTATTGTGAGGCAGTGATACAGGTGCTTCTTCAATAATACACCATAAAGCAAATGTAGGAATAATTACTGTCATTTCAAGGTGGGGATGCTCATAAATGATATCTCAAGATATTTACAGCAATTATAATGTGACGTGAGCATCTTTCTGATTTCTAGTGGTGACCAAGGCACAGGTGCAACTGAGACCTATTAAGGCCTAGTTTCTTAACCAAAGGAAACGCTATAGGTTAAAAAAGGGAAGATATGATTTCTCCACTGACACTATGGGGTCTGCAGGCTCAGGTCAGTTCCCCTTGGTCTTGAGAGAGGGAGAATGGCTCAAAGGAGGGGGTTAAAGCATTTCCCACTGAAGATCCTTGGACCCTTGGCTGAGTGGGGATGTTTTCTGCTCCAGATCCTGGACCCGAAGGGCCAAGCTTGCTCAGAGGTGACCAACAGGCCAAGGGTGGCCGTGCATCCAACAGATCTTTGGGGAGGCGCCCCAGCTGAGCCAGCAGAGCAGGCGGATGTCTCAGAGAGCCTGGCTTGGCTCACCCTGCAGATCTGGCTGTATTCAGGGTCCAGCATCCCTGGTCACGAGTAGGGACTGCCAGGCTGCAGGCACAGTAGTGGGGGAAAGACCAGGAGAAGACCATAAAACCTTTCAGGCTGTTCCTGTCCACCACTACAGCTAAGGCTGAATGATCTCAAGCAAGGTGCCCTAGCAACACTCAGAGAATTCCAGCTCTGGAAATAGAGAAGAACTGACATTAGAAACAGGCATAATAAGGCCCTTGACACCAAATACTGTCCATTCCTCAGTATGCCCAAGAACATGGAGCCTGCCTTGCCCAGAGGACACCCCCTCTGACCCCAAAAAGGGGAAAGAGATGCTGTAACCCAAAGGAAAAGGGTACCCTTTCATACTCAGGAAAGCACAGTCCTTTCTGGAGAATCAGCTGAATACCACCAGATCTGCCGGCAATAGCTTTTCTCTGCTCTCAGACCCTAAGGGTCTCCCCTAAGAGCCCCTCCCCCAGCACATGCATGTCTTCTGTCCCCCAGACAAAAAGATTTTTCTTAGTAGAGTCTAAGAAAAAAATTTTAAAGAAAAGAATCTATGACACATAAAAGATGTTTTCCTAGAATCTATTTTCACAACTCCCCAGAAAGTGTTAAGATGGAATATAAATAGATATGATCAGTTACTTTGAGACTATTCCAAATGCTATCCCCCCAAAAATCACATACAACATCATTACCTAGATTGCTTGCCCAAAAGCAACACTTGACCCTAGAAAGGAAGGTTTTCTAAGCAAAAGACCAGCCTGAAACCCATTGAACAAACGGGTTTCAGAGCCCACAATAAGCAGGAGAGACTTTTGAACGATTAAAGAGAAGAGTATGTTAAAATGATAACAATGAACATTAAGTCTAATCACCTCACACCCCTGACCATGTGCCTGCAGGAGGTAACCAAAATAAGAGGAAGAGAAAGAAATTGTCTTCCCTCCCTGGAATTCAATTGAAAGAGGATATAGTTCAGGTTCGAGGTCTGTCTCCATCATCTTCCAGCCCTGTGATTTTGGGCAAGTGTCTTCCGCGCTCCAATCCTCATGTCCCTGACCTATAAAATGAAGCTAATAATACTGACCTCACCAGCTCCCCACAAGCACTCCATGAGCTAACATGGATAAAAGCACTTCTCAAATCATCAAAGGTCTTGCAGACATAAGGCAATACCACATAATGCAACATGAAGTGGGAGAGCATCCAAGAATCAAACCATCACAATTCTGGAGTCATGAGGAGAGTGACAGTCAGGGGAGAGACAGACAGCTCACACCTGTCGATGAACAAAGCTCGGGAAGGAGGTGGAGGAAAATGAGACCTGACTTTTCAACCACCACAGTGGACCCCAGATCAAAATGCTGATGCAGACAATCACTTGCCAATGACGCCTTTGGACACTGCATACCAACACTTCCCTTTAACCCTCCCAGAGAACGAAGGTGTCTTTTCGTGTGCTTTCCATGGTCCTTTAACTATCTGTGGCTGGAAAACTTGACTTTTTTTTTTTTTTTTTACAGAGAGGAAGGGGGAGGGATAGAGAGTTAGAAACATCGATGAGAGAGAAACATCAATCAGCTGCCTCCCGCACACCCCCAACTGGGAATGTGCCGCAACCAAGGTACATGCCCTTGACCGGAATCGAACCTGGGACCCGTCAGTCCGCAGGCCGACGCTCTATCCACTGAGCCAAACCGGTTAGGGCTTGACTTTCGTTCAACCTCCTCTTTAGTAACTGCTGCCTAGTACTCTTCTTGTACCCCCAACATGGAAATAGCCAAGCTATATAAGTAGTGTAAGCAGGAGTCCAGACCCCAGCTTGAATGCATGTCACTGCCTCGTATCCTGAGCAGCGTGAGAAGTGTTCCCCATGCTACTGGCACCAGCAGCCACTTGCTTCAGTGAGACTTCCACTCCAACTGCCAATAATGTTGACCTTCAACCCATCCACCCTCACCATCCCCAGGAATCCAAGAAATATCAGCAGTGGAGGAATTGTGGAGGCCACTGAAAGAGAGGGCCTCAAGGTTCCCCAAGTTTGGGCCTGACCACACCTTCCTGGAGTCTGCACATCTGGCTGTGAAGATGCCAGAGGCTGTCAAAGGATGGCCATCAGTTATGGCGATGAAGGAAATAGAAAAGGGGTTTTACGACTAAACAGATTTCCCTAGGAAACTCCAATGATCCAGAAAGTAAACCAAATTTGATTCTAATTGCTTTTCGGCAATATAAACAAAATGGCCAAACCTGAAAATCTCTTCAACAGGCAGGCCCCCTAACCCTCATTGTAAATGTTCATAATATAACTGATATAAATCCATCACGAGGGACCATCCTTCGCACTAAATGGCTGGATGCTAGTTAGACTGGCTGATCACAGTGATAAGAAAGCAAGAGAAGGGCTGTGTCCAATCTGCAATCACAGGACTAACAGAGAGAGGAAGAGAGGGGTCTAAATATTTGAGCAAGGCTGGGGGACTCAGTAGCTCCGATACAAATGAAAACACTTGTCATGTGATATTACTCGTGTGTAAAGAATTTATAACTGCTAACATGAGTGCAACTCTCTAGCTTAACTTCTTCCCGTTCCCCAGAAAAAGAACTGCTTTTAATAAAGCCTTATGTGGGAACACAGCTTCCCAGGATGGCGTTGGAGCCCTAGAGGAGAGGGGGCCGTACCTTAAAGGAATACTTGCGACTTATGCGGTCCTCAGGGCCCACCGGCGATGTGACGTAGCTGGGCAGAGGAATGCTCCCAAGGACCACTTCTTCTCGGCTGTCTTTGGATGGAAAAACACATCAGAATAGCCTTCTGTGGCACCTCCCTTGGGCTGGTCCACCCACTGCCCCAGCTCAGGGCTCCTTATCTCTCCCCAGGATGATGGCATTCACTGACAGTCCGTGCAGCTGTTCCCCTGGGCCCTCTGTTCTAATGCTAGAACTACAGGTGAATCAGACCGGGCCCTCTCCCTCAGGGCTGAAACACACATGTAAACACACTCAACTGCTAACTCCTGAAATACAACATATGCCCAGTGCTGCGGGAACAGAGGCAGGGGTGACACACAGTTTGAGGATGTCGAGACTTCAGAAGGTAATATGTGAAAGTGTCTTCAAGGATGGGGAAGGGCGTTCTGGATGGAGCAAACCTCACAGGTAGGTGTGAAGCATCCTACCTTCTACCTCCATCCTCCTCCTCCTCCTCCTCCTCCTAATCATCTTCACACCACAGGCCACTTCCTGACGTCAGTGGTCCTGTCTCTCTCCTACTCAAAGGCACTTTGGACACATACTGCCCATTGGACACAGAATGAAGCCAACTTCCTTTACCTGGTGTCACAGCCCTTACCCACCTCCTGAGCCTCCTCTCCTGGTACAGCCTCCATTCGAGACTCACTCTGGCCTCACAGGTCTGTCACTCCACTTTCTTCTGCTTCTAGAACTTTTACTAAAGTTATTTCCTCTGCCAGTAATGTCCATTCCCCGCCTTCTCCCTACCCCCACACACAAGCAAAGCAGTACCTATCCTTCAAAGCCCAACTCAAGTCCTCTCTCTTCTGAGAAGCCTCCCCAAATGCTCCCACATGCAATTAACTCCTTACTCCCCCTAAACTGCCCAAGCACTTTGGATACCTTTAAAAGCACCTATCACTCCCAATCTTGTCTTAAAAGTAGGCTATCTCTTCCTCCACACTTTGAGGCATATCTTCCTTCTCACTGCTGCACAGCCTACCTCTATGTACTGGGGCTCCATAAATGTTCATACGGCCAACTCAATCCACCAGTTGTCCACTCAATATCCCAGTGGATAAATCCAGATAACAGGTTACAAAATACAATGTCTACCTATACTTCCCGCCTCTCCAGATTACGTCAAAGGTGTGCTTGTGTCCTGAGTGGGGCAGAAGCTGACACAACTGCAGATCCTGAGACCCTAAGTAGTAGCACACTAGATCCTATTTATTTTAACACAATAAATGGAACTTCCAGAGCTGGGACTTGCAAAAAATGATGTCACCAACCATCCATATATGTAAAAGTGAACACCTCAGCAAATCAATAGGTGACTAATTAGCTCAGTCACTGAATCTGAGACGACCACATTTACATCACCTCACCATCCCCTCCAGCACAGAGCCCATGGTGGCTCGAGCCTCAGCTCACCTTTATAGTAAAACAAGCAATAATCAGCAAGCACAAACCACCTCCTTTTCCACAGCCTCATCCCAGAACTGTCCTGCAAAGCAAAGAAAAAGAATCAGGACGGTGTCTGAGCACACTGTTCCCCTCCCCAATCTTGACTTGCCCATATTCACTCTTTCAAGAAATTAATAAATTTTTATTTTACAGACATTCTCTCACTAGGAAATTAAATTTTAGATTCAATGATGGTTGAGCCCTAGGAAGTTTTTTTTTTTCTTTCCTGGAAACAGATTCCTATATTATAAGCATCCTTCTTTTAGAAAGAAACATATGGATTCAAAAATACAGTTCTTCATTTAAGAATGAAATCAGCTTTTAAGAAAAAGTTTTGTTTAATTAAATGCTATGCTGTAAAATGCTTAAGCTGATTAGAAAACTGATTTACATATTATGAAACCAAGAGGTTACGTTAGCTAATTAATCAATGAAGCAAGTTCTCATTTGATTAAGTTCAGTTCTCCACCAGAGAGACTGATTTTGTTTCTACCGTAAGAGACTGTACTTGCCTTCCATTCAATGTAAAGCGACTTGGATTTTCTTGCTATCAAATTGTTTCATTAATAAGAATCTGTCTTTACTCTTCTAAAATGTAAATCGTTATATTTATGAAATATTTTTAGGTGAATGTGAAAATTTTTAAGAAGACATAATCACAGTAGGAAAATAGTAGTGTTTTAGGATCAGTTTATTCCCAAACCTAGGAAAATTCCAGAGCTTTTTTAGCTGTTAAAATTGTGTTCCTTCTGCAAGAGTTTTTGACAGGTTTAAATTTTTTTAAAAAAGCCCAGCTGGCGTGGCCCACTAGTTGAGTGTCAACCTATGAACCAAGAGTTCATGGTTCGATTCCCAGTCAGGGCACATAACTGGGTTGCAGGCTCAATCCCCAGTGTGGGGCATGCAGGAGGCAGCCGATGGATGATTTTCTCTCTCATCAGTGATGTTTCTCTCTCTCTCTCCCATCCCTTCCTCTCTGAAATCAATAAAAATATACATATTTTTTAAACTGGACAGTTTCTAAACCTAACAACATGAAGTCTGTTCATTCTCTACTTACTAAAGTGCTAAAAACAAATTTAATTTGCTGAGTTCATACATTTCTTGGTTTTATTTTTTGCATTGACCAGATAATTTCTAAGCATATGATGGTTGCTTTGTTTGGAAAACTCCTCTCCACCCTTCCATACCTGGTTCAAACATCACTTCCTCTGAGAAGCCTTTCAGGATTCCCCCAAGCACAGCTACATTCTCTCTGCTGTGTCCACAGCACGCTACACACACCTCTGTTACAGTCACAGCACACCCAAGGGGCTAGGGGTGGAGCTTGGGGAGAATTATTTATAATTCCTTCCTTCTCCCTCCACATTTCAAAGGAGCATTCTTTTATTTAATGGGCACAGAGATGCAAATGGAAAAAGTAGGAGGGTTAAATTACTCAGGGGAGAAAAGAGATGAGTGGAAATAAGAAAGAAGAGTGAGAACAGAGCTGTGAGGGGAGGGGTATCCTTAAGAGAGAGGTGGTGCCAGAGGAGTGATGACATAAGAGGCTGGAGAGCTGTGGGAGTTGCCATGGGGATCAGAACTGGGGAGACAGATTTCATGGGGACTTTTATGGATTTCTTCTGTGTGGTGTGCAATGTAATGCCCTCCTGTCTTCCCATAAATCCTTTAGTAAAAATTTACATCATTGCTTTTGGAGTTGGATTTCTGTTTTTTCAGGTAACATGATATATGACAGAATGTGCTGAGTGAGGGTATGACATGTGAGACATGTGTCTATTTGTGTCTCTCCCTCCCCCCTCCCTCCTGCAGACCTTCAGTTCCTCAAGGGCAGGGACCACATGTTATCCATCTCCTTTCATCTGCTGTGAGAGCATTTAGAAATGGCAGGATGAACGAGTGAGTGGATAGCAAGAAGAGAAGGAAGGAGACAAGAGGGACATGGTCTCTGGCCCTGGGCGCTCACAGACTCTGCATGGCCAGAGGACCAGAGGCAGAGCAAGTGATGGGGAGGACAGAGATGAAGGATGGCCTTGGGGAGATGGAGCAGACTGGGAGGGCTTCATGACGGGATGGATGTGGGAGAAGGCGGAGCTGGTGGCGGTGCTGAGGTTTCTAACCTGAGATCCAGAAAAGCAGATTGGGGCGGGGGAGGGGAGGGGGGAGGAAACAATGAGCTGAGGTTGGCTGATTTGGAACTTGAGGTGCTAGGGGGCTAGACTGGGAAAGAGGAAAAACAGGGATTTTTCGGCCCAGTGATAACAAAGACTCTAACATCAGGAAGGCAAGTGCTGGTGGGAAGGTTGGATTCGTGTTGGCCCACCCACACCAGCGCCTGGGTCCCAGCACAGCAAAGAGCACCAAGGGCCAAAGTGGGCAAGTGGGTTTGGGGAGGGAAGCTGTAGCCATTGAGTGGCGAGTCTACTCATAAAAACGAACAGCAAATTGCAGTCAGTGGGCGAAAACTACCTGCTTCAGACCAACTCAGGAATGGAACACTTACTATGAGCCTGTCCCCAGCTCCCAGGGGCCAGGGAAAGGAAAGAAATCAGCAAGAGCAATCCTATCCTCCCCACCTCCCTCCCCAGCCTCCTCACCTGCTTGTGCAGCCAGCCCCTCACCACGACCGGAACATTGGGGTTCCTCCGAATGGCTTGGTCCCTCTTCCCAAAACTGTGGACTTTATTGCTGGACTTGATGATCTAGGGAAAAGCAGACTTGAACTCTAGCAGCTGCGAGGATTTAGGGAGGCACCAAAAAAGCACATGTGCGATGGGAGAGCTGCAGGCTCCCTCGGCCTCACTCTCCGCGCCAGCGCCCTTTGATCAGAAGAACAGTGAGGAGACATGGACCAGGCGTGCACATGGCCACTGCCTTCTAATTAATAGGCGAGCCCCAGACCTGGCAAGCTTCCCATCTGGGTCACAGAGGAAAAAATTTAAAGGGATATTTCAATCAACTTCCACCAGCAGCTGTTGGCCCCAATATGTCCTACAGCTTTCTGGAACAAAGCTACTTTTTGGTCACAGACTTTGCCAATCACCAGATATGTATCCCTGCTAGCTGGGGGCGGTCTCAGCACTTCTCCCCTGCAAGGCTGGCTCCTTTCCCTGCGCCCACAGCTCGAGCACAAGAAACCTCTGGGCCTTATTCAAGGGCACCCTTCCTCGGGGCCATCTGTCACAAAGTTCTCCAGGCCGTCTCTAACACAAGATACGCCTGGAAAGTGAAGATGCATCCAAGGCACAGGATGCCAGTCCTGGTTCTGTCAGCAATCACCTGTTTTCCTGGACAAGGGACACGCCCCCAACTGGCCTCGATTTCCCCATCTATTAGTGGGGGAGAATACTTCTCATGTGTGTCCTTCACAAAACTAGGGTCAAGGTCAAATGGGCTTCTGATTACAAAGGGGCTTGGCAACTATAAAAGAAGGGACAGAAGGCATGAGCAGCCAGGAGCTCACCTTGGGGCCGGGTTTGGCCTCCACGGTGGACGTGGTCCCAGTTGTGGACGTTTCGCTGACCATGCTGGACGGTCTTTGGTTTCTCTCTTGCTTCGACATATGTGGATTTGGCCTGTGGGGGAGATAGGAGAGTCCAGTGAGTAAGTGCCAGACTGCGGTAGGAAGTGGAATCTGAGATTCATTCCTGCTTAGAACTGGTTGATGGGCCTTAGGCAACCCAGGACCCACCTTTTGGGGACCACTTGACTCCAGACTGCAGCCTGAGGGCCGGGATGCCCAGCCTACCCATGTGCTTCATGGAATCAAGAGGATGACAGCAGGGCACATCTCCACAGCATGACACCCCACAAAGGGGCCAAGGCAGTCATCCCTGCCTGCTGTCCTAAGGTCCCCACATTTACTCTCCTACTCGCGTGTCTATGGCAACTGCCCCATCACACGGTCACACACCACTCTTCACAACAAGAGCAATCCATACCCCTTACACACACACTCTCCATCTCCCTGGCTCACAAAAGAAGCTGCTTATAATTAGTAACAAGAAATCACTTGTGAACACATCCACACCCCCAGATACACACAGAGACTCACTTACATAAACGCCAGTAGGGCCTGCCTCCCAAAATAGACTACTCAACAAAGAGTCCTATTCTGGGAACACTCCAGTTGCCCCAAAATAGAGCCATTGGAGATATTAACCCCTTGAGCCATGCCTGGAGAGCAGGAAGAATGAAGCATGCCTGGGTCCCCATGAGGACCCCAGGTACGTCCCAATCAGCATCCAGTGACATCATTCCTCCCACTTGCCCTAGAGGACCAGCACTTTGGGGACAACACTCAAGAGACGCCTTGCAGAACCCTTCTCACCTGCCTCCACAGAGCCCCAGCATTTGCCAGTTTTTCAAAGCAGCGAGGCGGCAAATGCCTCCACACAAATTCAATGCTATCCTTGAACGGCTCCGGGCTGATTCCCAGATGCTGCTAACTATGGGACCAGTGAGCCTTCCGCAAAGCGCAAGTCCCAGAGGAGGCTGGGTTTTGTCCACTGCTCTGCCAGGCAACAGGGTCGAGGCGGCTGCAGGAAACTGAGGCTCTTTGCCTGAGGAGTGGAGAAAATCGGATCTGGAGGCTGGGCCAGGACCCCTCAGAGATGGAGATAGAAGATTCCAGGCAGGACACAGCTGAAGATGGAGCGCTCTGATGGCCTTTCTCCAGCCTCACCTTCACAGAGGTGCTACGAGGGAAAATCCTAGTTTCCACCTTAGAGATAAAATAGGCTGCTTCCTTGAAAAAACATTGCTGCTTGAAGAATAAGCGGTCCTTCCCACGCCCCAAGCCAGACCCCGGGACCCCGCACCATCAGGGAGGTTCTTCAGAGAAGGACCACAGCTGCGGGCACCAGCTTTCCAAGGGGCTGGGTCCTGCCAGATGCTTGGCAGCTGGAGATGCAAGTCCCTCAGGCAGAAGGCTCCCTCACTGGCTCCTTATAGGCTCAGACA